CTGAGAACCTAACTAGCTGTGCAACAGAGATATAGTTGAAAACCAGGCCTTTTCTTTCCACATGGTTGTAACGTAAAAAAAAGTAAAAAAAAAAAAAAAAAGGGTATGAATATCTTTACAAGGCACCACAGTTATCATCAGTTCGGTAGAAACAAGTCTCTGAAGATGTGATAGGCATATCCTTCTCCGTTATCATCGGTACTCACAGGTTTCTGCTCTGGCAGCCACTCTGTGACACTGAGCTTGTTGATCTCTGACGTGATCTTCTTTCGGTGGCCTGGTTTAGTTATTCCGATGGCTGTCAGATCCTACAAACACACCAACACACTTGTTAGTAGCATACCTTAGTGGCATTTTGCTTCACAGCTTTGCAGTTACAGCAATCCAAGTGCCCAGCAGTGTTTCTGTCTCTTTCTCTCATCAGACACGCTCACACAGGGAAGACATGAGACAGCGTGACATCTGATGAAAGCTTCTGCCGATTGGAAAGAATAGCGATGGTGCAAATGTTTCCAAATTAAATAGAGAAGCAAGGAGGGAAAAGAATAAATGTCTGCGGTGAAAGGAAGCATCTAGAATATCTGATCAGCCTGATTTCTTAAAACATAACTCATATAAAGTTGTCATAGACACACAAGGAGACACTTGGACAGAAAACAAACATTTGGATCTGTCAAACACGGACACACATACCCACACACTACACTGGTTGCATAACTCGTTTCTGTGCAGGTGAGAAATCTCAAGAAGACAAACCTACAAGGGAGAAAGATCCCTTTATTTACTTTAAGGAAGGTTTTATAAATTGATCCTTAAACCCTTTAGAACTAACAAAAAAATAGAAATACATAGAGTAGGTTGACCGGATGTCCCATATTTCCAGGGACAGTTCCCGTTTTCGACCACCTTTTACCGTATTATGAATGAGGCGGACAATGTTGCATATAAGATGTTATTAAGGTAGAAAGAGCACGCGAGCACGCTGCGCACAGAAGCAGCTGTTAACGTATAGAGTGTTTTAAAACAGACGGGGAAGTTCGTTATCACAGCTGGCTGGACGCTGTGTAACCCAGAAATCCCACATCCTCTGTCCCCGCCCCGCTGCGCTCCAGACCTGTGAAAAGCCAGGCCTACAGCCTCCGCTGTTCCTCCCGTCTTGCTCTGCTCCGACTTCCTCAGAGCTCGAGGAGACCATGAGCTATCCCCATCGCCATCCAGCACATTTGCATTTTTTTTGCCAAAATATTTTCTTTTTGTTGTGGGTTTTTGTAACAGGGATATAGGATCATATAACCTTTACATTTACTTTCTATCAAAATAATAACAGCTTGTTTAAAACAAAAGGAACGGCTGTAGCTCTGTACACATGAATAGAAAACAGGCTTAGGATTGTGATATTCCTATTAGGTTTCATTATAATTTTTTTAAGGACACATTACTTTTATGCCCTGAAGCTTGTTTTGCATTCATCTATACTCGTAATGACAACACATTTATTTTTGGAGAAGCTGCTTCATCATAAGAATGATCCAGATTTTTAGATGTGTTTTAATTTTTGTAATTTAATCTGTATATAAAATTCTAACCTAATCCAGGTTTTAATCCAGGCTGCTAAAGGCTATCAAACGGAGCAGCAACTGGAGGCCATTTCATTGTTTGGTTATCATTATGTACAAAAAAATATGTTTATCAATTTGCATATATATAAAAAAAAAAATTCATTTTAATTTTTGGGAATTGAAAAAAGCGGGAAATTCACACAGACTCCGTATTAATGCAAACTGGCCTGTTCATGAACACAATGTTATATTGCTAACAAGGTAGGAAGACAGAGAAGACTGAATGATGACACTAATAAACACTATTGATTGATTAACATTATTTATATTAATGGAAGAGGCGCATTCCTGGATTTCACACTTGATATTTGTTTAAATATGAATAAATATGTAAAAATTGCATAAATCTGGTCACCTTAACATAGAGGTATTGCAGAGATTGCTGATCTAGTCAGAGGGAAGAATGTGATGGTAGCAGGGCGAATGGAGGAAAGTGTTTTCTGTTAGAACGAGTTTATTAAACAAATTCTAATAACACAAAAAAAGACCTCCATTAATAGAACATATGGTTATTAAATGATGACTTCATTTATAAAGAGTGCTTCCGTTGGCAACAACAGCTCCCTTTTAAGGGATCGTCGATTCATTGCAAGAACAGACTTCATCTGAGGAATATTTATTTACGATGTCAAAACAATACAGTGAAAAATTAGCAAGTTGTCCAGTTTTAATATATTTAACTAAAATATTGTCAAAATGACGTTCCCATGTTAAATAAAGTATGCTAGGTCTTGTATCGCTTGCTCCTTTCAGCCAAAACAGCACTGAGTAACGTTAGACCTTTTCACGTTGAAATTGGTGACAATGTCGAGATCGCAAGAGGTAATGAAGATGATCAGGACATAACAGAGGAAGAAGGGAAAGTAGGCAGAAGAAGCTGGTGCTTGTGTAGCTGCGCTTAGGGATGCTAATGTCATGATCTGCTCTGATAGCTGGCCTTAGTTGCTGATATCATTCACCTGCCGTTCCCTCCCGGCTGTCTAATTATCACTCATCTCATCCACCTGCGGTCGAGGCTTTATATTCGTTCCAGCCCAGCTATCCAGGTCAGATCATTATTTGTTTTTTGTTTCGACTGTTAGTCAGTTTTTAGTTCTTTTCTTGGTTCCTGGCGGCCAGTGGAAGCAGAGGGTTTTATGTCTTTCTCGTCTCCTGATCCTGTCCTGATCCTTCCCCGCAGAGTCCTCAGAGTTTTGGCTCGGAACGCGGGGAGGATCAGTTTTAATGCCCGTTAGCCTGGCTCCAAGGAGGAGACCAGTTTAAAGTCCTGCTCATCCTAGTTCAACGTCTTGTCTCTGTTTGCTGCCCGTCTGCACCTGAGGCTGCCTGTTTGCATCTGTGCGAGTCGTTCTGGACACGCTTCTGAACTCTGTTGGACTCTGAACCTGCCTGAGCTCTCTGAGGATTCCTGGAAGCCTGGATCCTACTGTTCCTGCCTGATCAGTCTTCCCCTGACTTGGATCGGCCTCCTGCAAGCACTCTGTGTGACGCACGCTGCGTCGGTTGGAAGCCCATCGGCCCCACGCACCCTTCATGGACTGCTGATGGTACTGGACTGGACTATTACACCTGGGAAGTGCCCCGCCCCCCCTCCTGTAGTCGCTGTGAGCCACCTCCCCAAGCTCCTGTTCTGTTTTTGTTCGTTTTACATTAATAAACGTTTTTGAACTTTCCGACTGACTGTCTCACCTTGAATACTGGGTCCATCAGTCCCGTTTTATGACAGCTAACCCAGACAGAGTGCTATGATATAAAGAGCTCCGGTTTCTAACGGAAACTGGTTAGCATCACAACATTTTCTAAGATGTATTGCAATGATTTGACACAAAGGCTGTTCTCAATTCACAAGAGCGTGAGTACGGACTCGTGTCCTCACCAAGTATTTTCTTGATAAGAACACAGGAAAGTATTGACTTGGTAGGACGGGAGCATGCAGCATAAATTGGTTCGCTGATTGCTGTGGTCCTCTCAACTTCTGAATTAGTTTTTTAAATTACTCACTAAATCAGTAAATGGGCTAAATAATGATGCTTAGAAATATGTTCTCACCTCAAACAATCTTAGAGTCTTTGGTTGAGCAACCGCAACAGAGAGGAGAACTTTTAACTTAATAATCTGAGGTCTGTGAGCGCTCCATTGAAAGCTACTGCTGCTGCAGTGCATGCTGGGACAGCTGTCAATCTCAAGAGTGGACAAGTTTGATGCATGCTGGGTAAATACTACACTCCTCAACAAAATAACAACTAAATTTCAGAACTGTAATGAAAGAATGTTGGGCTTCTACTTTGCACACAGACAACCTGAGTGATAGATTGGAAGCAGGGCATAAAAAAAGACGGAGCTCAACCTTTGACACTTTTTTCGTTGGGTGCGACATGACTTCCAGGTAACAAAGTTGTTTGGCACAATCTGTTTGTTGCCAACATAACTGTAAATGAGTCAACCTGTAGTTTGCACAGATGCATAAATCTATAAATAAACATCCACTTTAAAAATGTGCAAATATTTGCTCTGTTTTAGGAGCCAAATTCCCTATTCTGTATTCTACAGATGTAAAACAGCTATGGCTGTGAATTGGGAAGATGTTAGCGATACGAGACGAATCACGATACATGTTTCACGATATGATTTATCCTGAGTTTTCCCATATTTTAACAAAGAAGATATACTGTGATTCTTTCATAAGATAGCTCTGGAAAAACTTGTGTGATCTTTTTGTTGCTTTGCTTCAGCAGGTGCAGAGTAGCTGAATATTAGGCCATCAGACTTAAGGCTTAAGAGAGGTAAACAGTATGACAATGAAATGGATATTTGCCCCTAAACTATTTTAACATTTAAGATCTGTCATATTTTGAATCAATACAGTATCATCTAATGAAATATTTTGATATTAGAAATTCTAATAAAAAAAATATCACAGAATAAAATATCCCGATATTTGACAGAATCTATTTTTTCCTAACAATCAAGTGACACACATTCTGCACCGCAAATATACAGTATTTGTGAATTTCTATGCAAGTATTTGAATATTTTCAGAAACTTTTTCTCTTATATTTTGATCTGCACATCAAAACAGTTATTCCATACCTTTAAGTTTAATTATATTCAAAGGATATTTGCAAGGGGTATTACGGTAAATATACATGCACCTGGACAACATGGAGGACAAAACAAATCATAATATTTCAGAATAGTTTCGTCTGTGGTCCTTGGGGGGCGGGTTCATGATCTCTGGGTTTCAGGGTTTGGTTGCCTTACCTCCGGAGTCATTCGGCTAATGGTGGGCAAGTCATAGCCCGCACCCTGGAAGTTTGGAGCGTAGACCTGCAGCTGAAAGTCGCTCAGCCATTGGACAACGGCCTCTGAGCTCTACAGGAGAGAAGACAGGGGGCATGCGGTCACTGGCACCGTGTTTGCTACTACACAGCAACCTTTCATCAGTAGGGCCAAACTGGACCATGCAGCCGCCACGCAAAGTTCTTATGGACGGATCAAACCAATTTCTTGCTGGCAGCCCAGAGCTGTTGTTATTACGTGTTTTAATAAAGTCTGGCTTTAAACATGATGTAATCCTTTTGGTGCTGGTTAACTCGCCTTAGCTCTATTGTTATGGGTTGAGTTTTGTTTTATTATTGTTGAGAGATTAGAAAATACTTTTTAAATAAACCAAACAAATTTTGTCAAATAAGATTATTTAAAAAAAATCCAGACACAAAACTTTTTAAGGGCTGTGAGCATAAAAGCTTTTCTCCTAATATCACTCTTGTTCATGTTCCTTTCAGATTCATTTCTCTTTCTTTCTTTCTTTTTTTTTTTTTTTTTACACTTTTTTTATCATTTCATATTTTCAAAAGATGCATTTCTGCTGGGCTTTAAGTGAAAGGGTCGATCTAAAAATATGCAAAATATAAATCTTGATTGTCTTGAAAGTTGATTGTCTAAACCTAAATTAAAAAATAAAATAAAATATTAGATAAACTAGTTTGAAATAATAAGATAAGAAAAAGAGAGCAAAGTTGCTTCCAGACTTTTTTTAAATTTCATTTCTCAGTTGCATCTTTTCCCAAATGTTTTTTTTTCTCCCACATTTATATTTATGAAGCGTGTCGTACGTTTTCAACAATAATGGAAATAAATTCACTCCATATATTGAAAACTAGCCTAAAGTGAGGAGGAAGAAACATCTGTCAACCAGATTTAGAACTAAATAAGTAAAAATATACTGGAAATAAGGCCTTATAAAATAACTGATGCAAGTT